TTTTAAAAAACTGTCAGAAAATCTTGAGTGATTTATTCCTGATAATTTTAAAACTTGCTCCTAGTCTAAGTCTCTTTCAAATTATTTGGATGGCTGTCATGTGTTGTTTGTGATAACTTTTTTTTAAAGATTTATGACTTGCATTTTCTGACCTTAAGAACACTGAGTTTTTAGAACTATTGCCCACTGAGCCACTGACCTGTATTTGTTCCTGCTGTTCTCTTCTTTGTTCCTGGTACTAATAAATATGTTGTACTTTAACGTCTTAAAAGGAGAAAAGTGAGAAACATATTTCATAGCTTTACCCTGAGGCTCTTATGTGAAAATTAATTTTCCAGGTCACTGCGGAGGGCGCAGATGGTTCTGAATCAATAATCATGAGATAATTTATGAAGAACTGAAAAGACTGAACTGAGCCGAGATGTCAGGGACGGTGGAGCCGGGTTTTGTCCCCCAAGGTGCCCGTTCTGCTGCACAGAACTGTTGAGAAGCAGATGGTTTATAATGTGGGAACTGTTGCATAAGAAGAGGTTGATGAAGGTGAACTTCATTCAGATTTTGAATACTTTAAATACAAGCACATGGATTTGTCTAAAGCAGGGAGTGTTCAGTGTCTTCCATGCTGTGTCATAATGAAGCCATTCTTAAAGGTGTAGTACGCTGAAATTCTGTGATTAATGTTGGTTAACACAGAATGTAAATCCCCATCTTCCCTGCAGGGGGTGCTACAACTGTATATGTAATCTCTTTTTTACCAGGTGAATGAATTTGAATTTAGTAAAAAAAACACTTGTTGCTCTAACTCCAACAATGTTGAAGTTTAGGAGGCAGTGCTACAACTGTATATGTAATCTCTTTTTTACCAGGTGAATGAATTTGAATTTAGTAAAAAAAACACTTGTTGCTCTAACTCCAACAATGTTGAAGTTTAGGAGAGAACATGTTTTGATTTAAAAACGCTGCAAATTTAACAGTTAAATACATTTTTATCGCCTTTGTTAATTTCACATTTTATTTGACTCAATAAAATTATTTGTTTAGACTGGAAACTGGCTTAGGGCTGATCTAAATGCCAGTGATAAGTAAGCTACTCCTAAAGTACAGTAACATTACTGCCACCTACAGGGCGAATGTATACGATATCTTTAAAAGAAGACGAGGGTGCAGAGAGGGGTGTTGCTGCAGCACTGTACACTTCAAAACTCCATAAATACCTCATTTTATTTTAAGGAACACGTCCATATAAATATTTATTCTCTTACATCTTCTGCTCCTACCAACATACTGTTGTCTGGTCTCTGGTTCCTCAGCAGCCTCTTTCATTTTTTTGCCGAACAAAAGAAACCACAACGTGTGCTGTGGGACAATGAAATGTCCAATTCTCCCAAAATTACAGTAAAAAAAAAAGTAGACGTCTTCTGCCGTGCAGGACAGGACAACAGGCGCTTCAGTTCACGTCCTCACGACATCCCAGCTGTGCTGCTGTAGATTTCTATCTCAGCTCAGCTTTGAATGCAAAGCTCCTGTCGGCTTCTCACCAGGGACCTGAAGCCTGTCGGGCTGCAGAAGAGTTAATGGACTGAGGGAAACACACAAAGAACACTTTAGCCTCTTATCGATGGAGGGGTGGGAGGCTGGGGGCTGTTTTTATGAGCTGTGAGCCGTGTGAGACAGAACTCGCTCCAACTGAACATGCAGAAAGTACAGGTGTTGAATGAGTCTGAGCTGAACTCTGGTAGTGCTGTAAAAACACCGTGAATATTGTTTCAACAGTCCAAATATTGAGCTTCCCTCCATGATCTCCTCTCCCGTGACTGTGTTTACTGATCAGAGCTCCGATGGTGTCCTTGTTTGGGGGGGATTCCTCCCTGAAGACTCCCTGCTCCACTAACTGAAGAGGCCTCAGGCTGAAACGACCTGTTTCTGACAAGCACCAGTGGAGAAAGTCAAAGGAGAAGAATTAGAGCAAAGACCAGAGAAGATTCATGGACGTAGTGACAGAGGACGAGGAGACGGTTGTTGTAGAGTGAGACAGGAGGGAGGCTGACGACCCAGGAGGGAGCAGTGAATAGAAGGAGGTGGAGGAGAGAAAATGAAACGGAGACAGATTAAGCAAGGAGGACAAAGAAGAAAGGAGGAAGGAAATAGAAGGAAAGACCTGGTAGAAGATGGTGAGGTGGTAGGAGGACAAGGGAAAAAGAAGCAGGTAGAAGGAGATGGTGGTGAAAAGAGAGTGAGGAGATCAATTAAATGGATCAGAAAGAAGATTTAAAAAATTGACTCAAGGAAGAAAGATGGAGAAGAGGAAAGGGAAGAAAAGTGGAGGACTAAGAACAGGAAGAAGAAGACGGGCAGGAAAGAAAGAAAGTGAGAGAAGTACAAAGGAATAAAGACGAGCAACAAGGAAGAAAGGAGGATTAAAGAGCAAAAATGATGAGGAAGAAAAAGAAGTGGGGAAAGGAAGAAAAGGAGGGAACAAGGAGAGGTAAAAAGAAGAAAGTATGGAGAAGATGGAAGAAAAGGAAGGAGGAACAAGACGAAGAAAGAAAGTTTGTGTGAGGAAAGAGAGCGAGAGAGAACTTTGTCTTGGCAACAGGAGGAAAATCACCACCGCAACAAACCCGAAGCAGATAAAGTCAGTCCTATCAGAATTGTCCACTTGTCTCCTCAGAGAGAAGGAGTCAGTGTGGGCTCCTCGTCGGAGGAGATTACACAGAGAAGACTGTCATCAGGAGAGGAGTGTCTGCCAGCACAGGTCCAAAAATAGCTGATAATGTTGTTCTAAAGATTTGAGCTGACTCTAAATTATACGTGGTCCAATCCAGGCAAATATTGACAGGGACAGAGACGGAGCTGGGCGCGTATTTACTCAGATTTGACACGGAAATAAGCGGAAACCTCATGAGCACTGGACTGATTATCTTTATCTGGTGAAATCATGCACATTAATAAACCCTCAGAAATATGGAAATTCAATCAGAGAGACTGGCCTCACGTCACCCCTGTTAGAGTGACGGACGTGCAGCCCGTTAAATCTGATTATTTACGTTAATTTCTCCATCAACACTCCAACCAGGCCAGCTGAACCGGGGAGCTCCTGGTTGCCATGGATGCCTCGGAGATGACGGAGGTATTTGGCTGTAAAAATGTGGAGGCTCTGGAAATGGAGGAAGAAAAAAAAAAGGTCTTCTCAGGAGCTCGGTGTAGAAGAGTGGCAGCTCTATCTTATCTGACAGGGTGTCAGGTTCCAGTGTTTTCAATCTCCTCCAGCAGCGACCTCTGCTTCCTCCACGGCTCAGAGGAGTTACTTTCCACACAGCAGATAAAGTCAATTCCTGCAGGTTTATACTGGGCAGCAGGGAGGAGTCACTAAAGCAAATTTGAGTTTCAAAGTGTTGGAACTGTCCATCCGTCTAAACTGTGCTGTTTCTAGTTCATTTAATAAAATCTCCAAAACTGTGCTGTATGTAGAAGGAGGACAGAGCTGTTTGATCACCAGCTACTGTTGCTCATGGAAGACTGAGGGCTGAGTCGTTGCCAGGCTCCTGTTCCTGTTGTCATGCATAAAATAAACACAGAGGGCAGTACAGTGGAGCTTCAGGATACGAGCTACCTGAACGACAAGTTATGAGTCGGCAACTTTTACAAGATATTCCTCGTGACACGAGAAAACACTCGTATCTAGAAGCCCCACTGTACACAGTCTGACATGTCTGAAATCAATCCCTCTCTGCAGTAGAGACTACAGCGCCACCTACTGACCCACAACCACCTTCTGTTGTGCAGGATTGTTCATTAATTTCTTAATGCCATCACAATAAACAGTACAGTAACATTTATTAAAGATGGAAACAAGTGAACACATCCACCTTATTGTAACATTTCTGTTCTACATTTCTGTCTTTATGGAGTATTTTATTACTTTTTATGGAATTTCATTGGATTCTGCTGAATGCCTTGTCCAATTTAGTTTTTTATCCATTTTTACCATTCATGGTTTAGTCATTAGGTTCATTCAGTTAAACTATGATGATGTCATGATGATTCCACCTGGTATTTAAATGTACCTAATATATTCTCTGTAAGTCACAACCAAAAATATAAACATATTAACCCTTAGGTAATGTCATTTTTCATAAATATATTGACATGACATCTGTCTTTAAAATCAATAGACAAAAATGACAGATGACTAATCAATACACTGGAGTACTGATAAGATAATAATGAGATGTAGGAATATGGTGACAGAAAATATACCTTCAAGACTGGCAGTTCACATGTTTGAATCTTGTTTATTTTGACTGGCAGTTCACATAACATGTTTGAATCTTGTTTATTTTAAATAACATTCAGAATTATTCTATTCTGTCTGTGTCTGACCACAGGCTGGATTTAAAAACTTACTGTGGCAAAACCAGGTCTACTATCAAAACCTGTAAGTACACAGTTTTACTTCGTCCGTCCAGATGTTTGCAGATGTCGCCCGCAGCCACGCCATAATCCTCACTGTCAATCACACTTTGCAGCCAATAAATAAAAAATGAGCAGCGAGACAGGACTGGAATAAAAACCATTCATCAGCGTTTGTAACAGAAGAGCAGCAACTCAGAGGAACGTAGCTGTCCTCAGACTGAGACGGCCTCAGGCTGGAGACACAGACCACTCACCTCCAGGTCTAACAAAGACCCAGGATTGTTGTTCTGGACTTGACTTGGACCCAAAGCCCTGATTACTTAAACTCAACTTCAGGATCTTCTTGGTTAAACTTTAAGGTAGACTATTTCTCCATTTTCCTGGTCTTTAGTATTTAAGACTATTTCTCCATTTTCCTGGTCTTTGTGTTTAACCTGGGCTAGCTTAAGACTTGTTAATATTCATTGTTAGCTACATGAGCTGTTAGCTTATGTTAGCATTAGCGTTAGCTGTTTCTTGGTTGTTGTTTTTTTGTTTTGTTTTTTGGCCAACTTTCGTTTGTGTATTTTTTATCATTTATTTACTCTTTTTTATTATTAACATTTTATACATTTGACACTATATTCTTTGTGTTTTGAGGATTTTAGCTGAGCAGATATTCACGTTGATGCCGGTTAATGACTCTAACGTCACAGCGATGATAAACGGAAGTATTGATTTTCCTTTCCTTGTTCATATTTAGACATGTCCATTGACACGTGCGTGTGTGTGTGTGTGTGTTGTGATTAAAAAGCCTCATTAGCAGAGCTGCCACACTGACAGCTCAGTCGACCAATGATTGACTGGATTATACCTCTCGTCCAATGGCAGCCGCTCTGAGAGGATGCTCAAATCTGATTGGACCAGAGTCATTGACGCCTCCCTCTGGTCAAGGTTGCACTTGTAGACTGGTGATCTTCGCAGTACGGGACGAGACTGGAGCCGCAGCAGGTTTTACTGACAGCACCACGAGCAGCAGCAGCATCAGCAGCAGCAGCATCAGACTAATCAGCTGAGGATCAGCTGTCACTCTGATTGTCTCCACAGAGGAATCTCTCCGCTCCAGAGAAAACCATGGATGAGATGGAGGAAGAGTTAAAATGCCCAGTTTGCGGCTCGTTTTTCCGGGAGCCCATCATTCTGCCGTGCTCCCACAACATTTGTTTGGCTTGTGCTCGGAACATCCTGGTGCAAACCCCCGACGCCGAGTCTCCACAGAGCAGCAGAGCCTCCGGCTCCGGCGTCTCCGACTATGACTACCTGGATTTGGATAAAATGAGCCTGTACAGTGAGGCGGACAGTGGGTACGGGTCCTACGGGGGGTTTGTGAGCACCCCGACCACCCCCTGCCAGAAATCACCGAACGGGGTGCGGGTGTTCCCCCCGACCGTACCACAGCCTCCTGCGCAGCAGCACCTCCTCCCTCAGCCCAGCTCTCTGCCACTGATCCCGCGCAACTCCTGCATCACATGCCCTCAGTGTCACCGCAGCCTCATCCTGGACGACCGGGGTCTCCGCGGATTCCCCAAGAACCGGGTGCTGGAGGGGGTGGTGGACCGGTACCAGCAGAGCAAAGCGGCGGCGCTCAAGTGTCAGCTGTGTGAGAAGAGTCCCAAAGAGGCCACGGTGATGTGCGAGCAGTGCGACGTCTTCTACTGCGACCCCTGCCGCCTGCGGTGCCATCCTCCCCGCGGACCGCTGGCCAAACACCGCCTGGTGCCGCCAGCTCAGGGGCGCATTAGCAGACGCGCGAGTCCCCGCAAAATCTCCACCTGCACGGAGCACGAACTGGAGAACCTGAGCATGTACTGTGTGCAGTGTAAGAACCCGGTGTGTTATCAGTGTCTGGAGGAAGGAAAACACGGGACACACGAGGTGAAAGCCCTTGGAGCCATGTGGAAACTGCACAAGGTTTGTGCGTAAAAACGATCGAATGATATTAGCAGAGCTGCAGGTGTATGTGTTTGTTGTTTACCTTGTTGTTTGTTGTGTGTACGCGCGCGCGCGCGCGTGGTTGTTAAAGGAACTAAAACGACTTCTGATAAAAAGGAGCTCCAGTTGATGAAACTAATTCTCCAGATCTAGACTTTGAATTCTATACTACAGTATGAAGGATCCTTTTAAAAAGCCATAATTACATCAAATTAATTATTTAACACTGTCAATTGATGTGTAGGAGGATTTTAACCAGTAGAGACTCTGCCCTCTCTTTGTATTTTTCTAATTTTTTTCTTCCTTTTTCAAGTAAACTAAATGCCTCTGGGTGGAATACGTGGTTTACCAGCAGAGATCCATCAGGTGGCAGTAATTCAATTCAAAAGATGCTGAGGTGCTTTTAGAATCAAAGAAGTAACGTTTTTGCTACATTATTGACACATATTTATTGTCCATCAATGCTGTCCTTACAAGGTTAGCTTCCAACACCTGTGTATATTTGTGTGTCTGTGATTGTTGTCACTTGTCAACTGTGTGTACTGGTATACTGGTAGTCAGGACCTGAACCTGGTGTTAAAGATGTAGGA